ATTCCCACAAAAAATTCTTTTAATTACCGTATTCGGTATTCCCACAAAAAATTCTTTTAATCACCGTATTCGGTATTTCCACTGAGACGGAAATGGAATAACGAAATAGAATCTCCTCATCAGAAATCAAAGTATAAGCTGTTGTTTTCTCTTGTTTTTTATTTGTTTACATTTTTGAAGAACATGGAGGTTATTTTTTTCTTTTGTTTTTTCATTTTTGCTTTAATAATGTAAAGTTAAACGTCAGACCATTAGTTGGGATATATATATAAATAAGTTACTGCTCGGCTTCGAGTTAACTACTTTGTATACGTTTATTTGTTCAAGATGTTCAAGAGACGTCCTAACATGATGGATTGTTTAGTTGTGCAGAATAACGGTTAAACATTTAAATTAATTTCTACTACTTTTGTCCCTGGGTGACACAGCGGTAACTCTTAAGGCTTATAATGCAAAAAGTCGGGTTTCGATACCCGCGGTGGGCAGAGCTCAGAGAATCCATTATATGGCTTAGTGCTTAACAATAAACTATTGATTTTATACCAATGACAGCGTTGGGATATATTGCATGTGAGTAGAGACAGTATTGACATGCATTCCAAATAACAATAGAATTAACATACATCACAAGTAGCTAGAAACACTTATTTGTAACCATCATGGCATAATGTTAACACAGTTTTGTAATGGCAGTGACAACTTTATCATACGTTACATATTGTTAGTATTAACATACATCATAACTAGATAGAGACAACGTTAACCTACGTTACAGTAGTTAGAAATAACAAAAAACATTAATAACATACATTACAAGGAAGGCGTTAAAGTGATACTTCCCGCTACTTCTTGGAAAATATAAATAAAGTACTGTTCGACTTCGAGTAAACTGTCTGCGGACTTATAACGCTAAAATCCGGGTTTCGATACCCGTGGTGGGCAGAGCACCGATAGCCCTTTGTTGTCATACGAGAAGAGGTCAATATTTCTAAATTGTTTTCTCTTGAAAAGAGAAGAGTTAAAGTGGATGTGATTGGGGTGTTTAAGATTGTTCAAGAAATTGATAGTGTTGATACATCATCTTTTTTTATACTTAATGGTGAGAATAGTAGGACTAGAGGACGCAAATATAAATTTTAGCAAGGTAGGAGTCATCTTCAGTTTTATTTTTCTAACAGGGTGGTTGGCGTCTGGGATGGGTTGCCTTCGGATGTGGTGGAGACAATAAGTTTAAGGGAAGGCTTGATAAATATATGAATGGTAAGAGGTGGCTGTGAGATGGACCAATAGGTCCCTTGTTGTCCCTGAAGAGTAGGAGTCATCTTCAGTTTTATTTTTCTAACAGGGTGGTTGGCGTCTGGGATGGGTTGCCTTCGGATGTGGTGGAGACAATAAGTTTAAGGGAAGGCTTGATAAATATATGAATAGTAAGAGGTGGCTGTGAGATGGACCAATAGGTCCCTTGTTGTCTCTGAAGATTATAATATGTTAAACAAGTTAGGTTGAGTTGAAATACAAATAACAAGAACCATGACAAGTTAAGTTAAAGTTATACTGATAATACAATTGCTCTACCTAAGTTAGGCCAACAAACTCCACCTCCCTCCTCATAATCAGATTTTCTACTCAAGAGAAACATTAAATCCTAAGTTGTAGTTCACTAAAATCCACGAAAGTCCTTAAAGCCTTAGAAGTAAAGTCTAAAATAAAAAATAAAAAGTTACATAAAAAATACAGGCTAAACCAGTTCACTGAAAGTGAACGTCAGTGCAAAAAAAAAAATAAGAGTTAAATCAACCAATTTCAGTGAGAGGTTTTAAAGCTCTCTAGGTGGAGTCTTCTAACTAAAATAAAGTCTGCTAAAACTTAACTCTCTCAGATCAAGCCCAGCATTATATTTAAAAACATAGTATATATAAAGCCAGATTTGCACTTGGCTAATATTTAATCGAGTAATTCATATATCTATAGCATAGCGTGTGCAAAAGATGTTGCAACCCTTAGCTATTCTATTATCCAGTCTACTGACAAGAAAAATAATTTCTTTGCTAACAAAGCGTTAAGTTATCTTTCGTCAAGAAGGCTATGAATAACAGCCAAGTTGAGTATTATTTAAATGCCTTACTGCGACAAAACGGAGAATGATGTAAAGCACAATTTAAATATGTTTACATATTAAACAAAGGAATATGGATTGAACTAGGGTACCAGGACCTTCCAAAGACATACCTACAATAAGTCGTACCCCCTGCTCTGGTAAGCAAAATGTAGCAACAGTATACAACATGATGAAAAGCGAACTCCATTTAGAAATGAAGCCAACAGAGTATAGGTTCACGAAGATAAAGCTTTCAACTGTTGCATAGCTTGAGCAACTGAAGAATGAAAGTGATATTTGTGCTATTTCACATGAAGACATATTAGACAAGTCGCTAGATATTTTCTTTACTAGATATAAAAGGGTGAGATTAATATATATTTTACTTGTGAAAGTGACATGTTTTCAAGTCTTATTTTGAAGACATTTTTATATGGCTATAGTTTCATAGTACTTACAGTCAAATATTTACAGTTCTAGGTTAAATATATGGAAATTAGGCGGTTAATCTCTATTGCTAGCTTATCTGAATTTTGTTACTGGCCAATGCAGCTCAATATAACATTTTTAACAAGGAATACGACGCTTCGTGGGCTGTAACCATCAAAGAGCAGTGGACTTTTTTCACCATAGTATCAACTCTCACCGCTGTGTACCTGTGGGATATGTCTGTCAGGACTGGGAGACCTTCCTACAGGGTAGATGCGCCGACTGTGGTGTAGATGGGAGTCGCTGTGCCATAATGGGATTACGGGCAGAGAAATTCAAACCACACAAAGACGATGGCAAATCAGTGAAAATGTACCTCAAAACAAGTGGATCGTCTCCATTCTGCTGTAAGTGTGTTATTTGAGTAACTTAGGCACCTGGAGTGTCTATTAATTTACGTATACCTATAGTATAAATACCAAACTGTTTTTTTCTTTATTATGTCGCGAGTTCAGTCGCAAATTTAGCATAATGGCATGTAAGAAAGAGTTAGTTTTAGATTGAAAAATAATCAAACAACTCTGGGTTTTTTTCTCATAAGTATTACTGATCATTTTATATTTATTGAGCTAGGCGTTAATTATTTACACATATTACTATCCCTATCTTTGTGAAAAAGTCAGGTTGCTGTCAACGTTTTTTGAATTGGAGAGAAATTTTGTGATATAATCACATATTTGTTAGTAAGAGCTTGTGAGTTAGTTACAAGATGGACACGAAATATTTTCTGTAAGATTATCAACTAGTGTTGTGTATCTGACAGTAACATTATCAACTAGTGTTATGTATCACACAGTAACATTATCAACAACTGTTGTATATCTGACAGTAACATTATCAACAAGTGTTGTGTATCTGACAGTAACATTATCAACTAGTGTTGTGTATCTGACAGTAAGATTATCAACTAGTGTTATGTATCTGACAGTAACATTATCAACTAGTGTTATGTATCACACAGTAACATTATCAACTAGTGTTGTATATCTGACAGTAACATTATCAACTAGTGTTGTGTATCTGACAGTAAGATTATCAACTAGTGTTATGT